ATTATCCTGACTGACGGCCATTCGGAAAAAACAAAGCAGTAGGACAGTCTTTTTACATCCTTTGTCCAGCTGCATCTCCCTTTTGTTTTTTTGTTTTTTACACGATAGCCCTTTCAATACTGTTGTGTGGCAAGGGGCCAAAAACTCTCCAAAATCAGGTTTGGCGTCCCTTTTTAGATTCAATGACATAGCTTACTGATAGCCTTATGCGTTCTGCTGCTCAGTGCCCTTACGAGCTCAGGAGGGACCTCAGACCTTCTCAGCGTGATGGACTGCCTGTTGAATCCATAATACCTAGGTCTGTGAGTGGGTGGTCATATGCAGAGATGCTAGAATTACTAGAAGTTTTTTTTTTGGAAAGGACGCTGGACCTGGTTTCCAGCCAGTTTTTCTATCACTTCTTCTGAGGACACTGGACCTGCTTTCCAGTGTGATACCCAAGATAGGATGCTGGACCTGTTTTTCAGCAATCCGGGTTGAATTGTGAGGTCCCCGGCCTCTGTTCTTGTCCCTAAAGTTAAAAAAAAAAAAAAAAAAAAAAAACTCTCCAAAACGAAACTCTTGAAAATGCCTGACAGCGGGCCTCGCTACTTTCGACATGCATAAAAGACAAAAATCATGGCGGTGTATCCTTCCTTGTTCTAGCGGTAGATTCACTCTCGTTTTGCACATAGAGTAGTGGAGCGAGGCCCAGCTCTTGAAACATTGGGTCTCGCTCCACTACTCCAGAAACCGGTCATTTCTTGAGCGCGGCACCGCTCCACTTAGGGCGTCGTTCGACACGCTTCGGGGACGTGATTCCAAGGATTTTGTCTTTGTTCCACCTGTCCTCGAAGCCGATTTTCGAAACCGAAATGTGAAAACACTCCGAGGACAAATCCTCAGGCTCCGAGGATTTTCCAGCCAAATCGTCCTCGGCTCCGAGGGACCTCGCGCTCCGAGGATCGGCGATAATCGGGGTGTCGGCGGCGAGTCGAAAAGGGAAATTGGTAGTCGAAGGTGGTCGAGTGCTGGTCCTCCGTGTTGAAGACGGACATAGCGAGGCGCCAATGTCCAAAACGTCCACGAACGGCCTCGTCTTTTTACCGTTGTCGGGGATTGGCGGTACGTCCCTGTCGGTTTTTCGGGCGGCCCCACGGTGGTGCCGTGCCGGGCATCGAACGATTTCGGGCGGGTCGTGGAGGTGTCGTAGCATTACCACGGGCTGCCCGACGGTCGGAAACACGAATTTCTTTAAGCGTCCACCCCCGGCCGTTGGCTGCAGCAATTTCGTACGTTGGCGTCTTCCCTCGTGCAACGTGTGTCTCCGGTCGCCTCGATCGCGACAACCAAGTGCGTCCCCTCTCCTTCATGGTTGACCTGTGCCGCAGGCTGCCTTCGTTGCTGCTTGCCGTTGTCGTCTTTCATATCTGCATCCTCGGTCGCGTCCCTGGAAGGAAACAGAGGCGGCGAACGACGAAGGCGGCCGGGAAGATGGAGGAGGTGCAAACGAAGAGGACGATGTCCGTAGGGGCTGGCGGGTCGTCACGTCAGCGTTGTAGCTCTGCGGAAGGCGGCAGGCGCTCGTACGACCCGACGATGTACAACCACCTGCCGTCCCACGAGATTCCATTGCCTCCGAGTGACGAGGATAGCGACGAGGCTCGATCATCAACGGTTCCTCTGGGCAGCGGTTCGACGCAGGATTGGATGGGGAGCCAGCTGTACAGACAGCCCCCGATGCCGACGTATACTGATCTGCTGGAGGGGCGGACCCCGGTTGGTTATGACGGAGGGCTCGTAGATCTCAGCTTCGGTTTGAGGTCTGGGAGTGGCCAGGACGTCACGCACACTGTTCTCGTGAACCCGGGTTCTGCCAGCAACCACACAGCGCCTTCGGTGGGGCCGTGTGGCCTTCCTGACACCCGCGGCCGGGGTTCTGGTAAGTCGGGCAACGAACGTGGACTTGTTTCGCAAGGGCGGGCGGCAGTGGGCACAGCAGGTGTTCGCGCGGCGGGGACGAGGACAGGTGGATAGACAACGGCAGGTGACGCAGTCCACTGAGGAGGGGATGACGTTGACGGCTACGCTGCGGAGGTCGCGGGGCGAGAGGTTTGGGATGATTACCGGCGACAATCGCGTCAATCTAGCACGTCCGCCATAACGAGAGGGGTGGCGAAGATCAATGTACGGGCTTACGACACACCCGGCGATTGCGACGGTGTGGGTGGTGAAGATTGCTCGGTAGGCGACGCAAGCAATGACAACGACGACGAGGACGACGGGGAGATGGAGATTCATCCGCTGGGGAAGAAACGGGGAGGGCCTAGGGCAACGAGCAAGTCCAGCAAGCCGCGCGCGGGGTGGAGAGGCAAGAAGACTGCGGGAGATGCGTCGGCAGGCGACGGAGCGAAAAGCATGGATTTTTGGACCGTGGAACACATGATTGCTCTTGTCAGAGCTAAAAGAGACCAGGATTTGCATCTTGCTGGCCTCGGCCACAACATGGGAAGGATGAAAACGAAGACATGGAAGTGGGCCGACATCGAGAGCAAGCTTGTGCAGATGGGGGTGACGACTAGAAAGGCCGACGACTGCGGGAAAAAATGGGACAACCTGTACATGCAGTTCAAAATTATGCACAAGTTCATGGGAGAATCGGGGAAGCCTGATTTGTTCACACAGACGCCGCGGGAGAGAAAGGAGCGGGGGTTCGATTTTCGGATGGACGAGCGTGTGTATTCGGAGATGATGGCCTTGTCCAAGGGCGATCACACGATACACCCCACGAATCTGGCGGACGCCAGTGCGGCGGGAGGTGTTCAACTGCCAGGCCGGCCTAGGCCGGCCTGGAGGTCGGAACGATTCAGGCGGTAGTGACGGATGCGGGGATGGGCAGGACGACGATCACGGATCGACGTGGAATTCAAGTTTCAGCGGCGGTGCTGTGGGCGGGKGCGGCAAAAGGAAGAATGTGAGACAACAGACCTTCGACACGATTGCGGACGTCATGAAGGACCATGGGAGTCTGATGGCGACGACGGTGGACAGCGCGAGCAAGAGGCAGTGCTCAATTCTGACTAGGCAATGCAACATTCTCGAGCGAGAGCTAGAAGTGCAGAAGGAACACTACGTGAAGGCCGACCAGGCGAACCTGTTGATGTGCAACGCCCTTATGGAGATTGCTAAAGCGATCCGCGAACGATCATGAAGTCGATGGGCCGCACACGTCCAACGTCCACGCGAATGCCTCGTGTGTGCTTCTGGATCGTCGGCGTTGCCCCCGTACTGCGTGTTGTTGTGCGGTGGTGGGCATGTTGTTTACAGAGGACGGCTCATTTCTGCATGCGGTTTCCATTGCAAGAGTCGACTTTTTTGATTAGTTTGAAGGGTGTTGATTGCTGTCATGCCCGTCAGCGCGTCAGTCGGTTTCAAATTACGACGCCCGATTATTGTTCAATGCCTGTTGACGTGACTCGTTACAGCCACGCGCAGATGGGGATCCAGCAGGGTTTTCTTCTTGGGGCGGGGGGGGGGGGGGGGGGGGGGGGGGGGTGGGGGGGGGGGGGGGCGGGAGGTGGTTTGGTGTCGGATAAAGGAATGGGTGGCAGGGTGTGTTTTTTTTTTTGGTAGGAGGGGACAATGGATGACAGGTACGCCTCCACCATGGTCCTCCTGTGTGTTTTTCTGGGGGGTGGCGGGCGATGGAAGCGTGTCGGGGTCTTTCGACCTCCACCATGGTCCTCCTGCGTGCCCACACGCGTTGTTGGCCATACGACGGATCACCAAAAGACTTCGGGAAAAAAACGGTCCGTGTACGATCGACTAGGGGGCGGGCTGTCGTGGACGGCGTGGCGTGTACACGGTGTGCGGCGTTGGCGCACCACGTTGAAAAGGAGATTTCGGGCCTCAGTTCGTACGGCAGTACTCCATTGTCCACGTCTCCGATGGTGTCATCTGATCAGCACTTCCCGCCCTTTGCGCCTCCACTCTCGAGCTTTGTGCACCGCCCCTCACGCGCCTCAAGCACGTGCTTTTTTTTCTGTGGCCATCATCGTCGCGGCTCCTGCCCACCACGACTGCGCATCGTCCACGTGCTCCTTCGTCGACGTGGCCGTCGTCGATCTCCAAGCGTCGTACTTCCACGTGCTCCTTCGTCGACGCGCTCCTTCGTCTACGTGTTCGTCGTTGCCGAGTTGCGGACGACATGGCCCCGAGGAACGCATCAGTGAAGGCGAGGCAAAATAGCGGGGCGGGCGAGGGGGAAACCAAGAGAGGCAGAGGGCACATCCCTAAGCCGAAAAGGCAGCGCGTTGAAGAGTCGAGCTCTGAGCACACTGCAGACTTCCAGCCAGAAGAAGTGGTGATGGTGGACGCGCAAGGTACTTCAGCGGCGCCGTGATTGGGTTTCGGAGGGGATGGGTTGACGAGGGAACAACTGTCCGCTGTCAAGCAGAGCATTGCTGTTGGTGTTGCCGGGGCGTCGCAAAGGACCCCGAAGGCGGCAGGGGTTGTGATAACGGAGGTGCGCGTCCCGAGGCAACTTCCCGCGGCGACGGGGCAGAGCCAGCCACGTCAGACACTTCCACTGCAACAGCTGGGGGCTTCAGGGGGGGGGAAAGCACAGCCCGCGCAAAAGGTGCGGGCGAGGAGAGGGTAGACGACGTCCGCCACGATGAGGGAAGAAGAGACAGAAAGCGGGAGGGCGACGACGACGACGGCGATCGACACTCGGATGGCGGCGGCGGATCACAGTGGTAGAACCGGAGTCGCCGAAGGTGCGGGCGAGGAGAGGGTAGACGACGTCCGCCACGACGAGGGAAGAAGAGACGGAAAGCGGGAGGGCGACGACGACGACGACCGTCCATTTGTGACGAGGTTGAAGGGAGCCGCAAAGGAGGATGGTCTGCAGGAAAGATCGAAGTTGTGGGTTGATTGCGACTCTTTCTGGGGTCAGGGATCGGGGAAACCCTTGAGGGAGGCGGTTGACGAGTGCGCCGATTACATCTCGTAATTGCCAATGGAGACGCGGGAGATGAACCGCCTGCGATGCTCATACTGCGGCCGAACGACGTGCCGCGCTTCAAGATCGAGGACCCTGCGCAGCGTGAACCGGCTCTTCGCAGAGCGCGCAACATCGAGAAACTGGTGCTGCGCGCCATCCACGGCTGGATCTTCAAATCGTCGTCGCGGTCGGCCGGATTCGCTCGTGCAGAGTCGTACATCAGTGTCGACATTGCCACAGACGTCGCACGAGGAGTTTGGCAGGGGCAGGAATGGTCGAGCGTGGTGTCCCCTTCACTCGTGTACCACACTCTGGCGCTGAAGATGGATGTGCCTCTGTGGTTCACGGGGGTGAAGATTGTGGATCGGCCCGAGGACGACAACATGGCGGCGCGGCAGGAGGCGACAGTTCTTTGCATCGCGGAGTGCTGGACAGACGCACTATGGTGTGGACAATGGGCGGACGGCGGGCGCGTGAAACAGGAGAGGTTGTCTAGGCTTGCGAACTGTCTTCGAGCGTTGTTGAGCGTGTGCATGTGGATCATGCGCATGGGTGGTGACGACGACCGTTCGCACTACGAGGCGTGCCTTTACTCGTCCATGGTCGCCAAACCGACAATGATAGAGGCGGGGTCGTACATCTTCAACTGGCAGCGACACATCGTCGACAGCGCGAACCTCGTCTTGGATCGTATAGGGAAGGCTCACCTCACGCTGGGAGAATACCCGCACTGCCTTCCGGAATGGTGTGATTGCGGGTTGGTGTTCGGCCACAACGCGGCCCTGAAGAACACGGCGGAATCCGCGAATCACGGATGGATTGGCAGCGGGCCTGCGGCGGAGGAAGTGGGAGACGAGGACGGTTGACACGTGGGTGCGTCCGTGGCGCAGCGTCAGGGTGCGGATCGTCGACTGATTGGAGCATTGAAAGACGCAACGACGAACGCAGTGCCTGCGACCACAGACAAGGCAGCACGGGCGGGATGGGTGTCGACTGGTGTTGCTTGTTCAGCGGGCAAGGGCGGGGGGGAGGGTTGTGGGGGGTTTGGGTTGGTTGGCGGAGGGGAGCGTTAGCCGGGTGGTCATGGCGACTCCAACGGCGTCTGGTCTCGAGTGTCGTCATGTATATGTCAGGTTGCAGTCGTCGTGGTGCATGTGTAGTGAACGATGCATTCGTTTATTTTGTGTCATTATTAGGTGATTGGAGCGCACTTGGTACGCTTGCTCCGCCGCAGGGTTAATTGGGTCGGTGGACTGCTCCGCCGAAATGTGTGTAGACGGCAGGACCAGTCCGTGTGTAGTGCGGAACGCTTGAAGTGTCGATAGTCAGACAGAAGGGGGAATCGCCGCCCTCTATGCGATTGATTTTATGTAATATGAACTCAGCGAAGTGTGTGTTGCTTTTTCCATGTCTTGTGTTTGCATGCAAAAGATTGCGCACGGAGCTATGTCGTCGTTGTCTTCTGTGTGGTTTTATCACATGACGCACGCGTGAATGGCCATCGTATCATCGTCCGCATCTTCTTGTGTATGAGCCCGTGTTTTTCCATTTCACCTATCGCGGCATCGTTGTCATCGTCGTGAACTTAACAAAGAAAAGAAATAAAAGGAAATCAGGCAGGAAAGCAAACATGCACTTTCATTGTCATCTTTCTGACGCTTGTCGCCCGTGTTTCCCTTCCTCATGCCGGATCCTAACGATCGCACCTATCATGAAGGAGGGGGAAAAAATGAAAACGAAAAGTTTGAACTACTACAAAGGAAGGTCACAGCGCGGTTGCATGATGAGCACATCAGTCGCGAGTTCATCTTTTTTTTCTTTGTCGATGCATGTCAGTCGTCAATGCAATAACGAAGCTTTTCGGGATTCACAAATGCGATGCATGTCATTCGTCAATGCAAAAACGAAGTAGAAGAGCTTTTTGGAAAAAAACGGAGACCAGTCGAGACCACATGCACAACACACATTCCATGCACCGCAAAAAAAAAAAAAAAAAAAAAAAAAAAAAAAAAAGAGCATCCCTCAAAAGAATAGCAGCAGTCGGGTACACCGAAAAATCCATTGTCAAACATCATCAAAAAAATGCACCGTTCGAAAGTTCTAAAAAAAAAAAGCGCGTAAAGCGCATGCGAAACAGCGGGCTCACGAACCTCTTCGTGCCAG